CCGTCCCGCCCAGCTATATTTTCTCCTACTTGGACCGCTCCCCCCATCCATCCGTCCCTTTTGTTTCGATATTGTGTCGCAGCGCCCACCGAGAGGTGTTTTCGTTTCTGGCCCAGGTTCAACCGCGTAGGTCTTGTTTTAAATGCCACGCCCGTCCTTTCTTTTCGCTGCCCTTCCCAGTCCAGCTCATGGAGTGAGACACACCGCCCCTTCAACTAACAGTGGGGACTTCCCTCGAGCGGTCGACTACAGGAAAGGGGTGGATTTTCACTTCGCGCGAAAAGTTCATCATCAGGGACCGTCGTCGATGGGCCCCTGCTTAGCGTAATCTCGGGGTTACTACTGAGCACTGCCCGGGCGGCGTGCGGCAGTCTTACCTGGTTGGCTCGCGCGGCGTGGCTCGGCGTGGCCCTGTGCAGAGTGGTGATGGTGGGGATGGGGCTCAGAGCCTCTTTGGCTGGGCAGGGCAGCAGCGGACACGGCCCGGCTGCTCGGTCCGACCGGCCCCCGGTTGCCGCTTGCTGGCTGCCAGCCCGGGCGGGCCCCGCGCAGAGTGGCCGTCCCGGGCCCGTCTCGTTCTCGTCCCGTCAGTTCTATCCCGGTGCTCGGAGAGATCAGACCGACCCCACGCGAGTGCCCGAGCCGAACGCTAAGACACAGCGCCTTAACGCGTCAGTGCGTGAGTGTGTGAGTGTGTGTGTGCTCGTGTATGTATGTGCGTGTGTGTGCACGGGAATGCACTGGAGTGTGCAGTGATATGTAGTGCGAATAGTGAGCGTGCTCTCCCTGGTGCTTTTGCCAACTCACCGGAACGGAAGATGTGTGATCAGTGCATAGTGTTTGATACTCGGCAATGAACTTTGGATTAATATCAATAAGATGGTGACGTCGTTAACTACAACCTAAGGTTAGTAGCTCAAGGAAGTCTTAAATTTTCCGTTTTCCCTTTTCGTATCGCGAGTGGAAAGTACGCGGGGCCGACTGGGGGCTGGGCTTTAGCCTTTAGCAGGACCTCAATGACATCACCCACGACTTCCCTCTGGGACTCTCCTCGGCAAGACAGTGCGCGACGGCTTCGGTCTGGTGCACCGGCCGCGAGCCAGTCGGCTGTCCGAGGCCGCCGTTCACGTCGACACCCTTGTCAGGTCCCCGGCGGCGACCTACGCGACGACGCACTCCAGGGCCCGGAGCGCCCAGTGCACCCGGTGCACTGGCAGCAGCATCTGCCCGACTCTGGCTGCAGCGGTTGCGGTGGCGCTCTTTGAAGGAGACACAATAAGATGGCGCGAGAGGGAGGGGGAGGAGGCGGGGGAGAGTGAACCTCCCCTGTGTCTCTTTTCTTTTATCACGTTGTGCACTTTTCATTATGGCCCGGCCGGGACGAGGCCGTGCGCAGCCCGCTCAGGTGGAGGCGCTGGAGCAAGTAAACACGGCCGAGGCCCCGGACCCGGCCACACAGAGGGAGGGTGTCACGCCCCGGCCGGCCCGGCCCGGGCCTCCGGGCCTCCGAGATCAAGATGTCACGGCCCTTTTGTGGGTCGAGGAGGCCGTGCAGGCCAGCGCCGTGCAGTGTCATGGCCTCCTTGATCGGCCACACAGCGAGGTGTGACGGGTGTGAC